GGAATATATGGGGATTATTAGGGTTCAGGGTTTATAGTCCCCCTTAAGTAGATAGAATATAGCTTTGGGTATATTATAATAAGATCCATATACCTCATATTCTATCTACTTAAAGGGGACTATAAACCCACGATGAAGGCATTGTTTGTAATTCTTTTTGGGGTCCTACTAAGAATTACAAGTAAACATGGTACCTCAGGCCTAAGGGGGTCGGAGTCCATGGCAACCCTAACTTCAAGCAGTGAAGCTTCCCAGCCTCAAGCAAGACCAGCCGGCTTCCGTGTAGAGGTCCATCCACCCTCCTGGAGATGTAGAAAAGCTGTCGTAAACACACCAGTTCTTGGCTTAGGCCAAGTGGTTTCCATTTATAGGTTCACTTTTCATCTTGATATTCCATTTGATTTTGCGTCATCGTGGTGGTATGCCTAAGCCCTATATACTCCCTGTATACTTCTTATGCCACCATAACTTCCCAATATCATCCCGCAGAATCCCTAAATGCCGCCATCGTACCCCTACACCCTAAACAATAGTTTCCATTTCACTCTTGTCCATTTGATTCTCCAATTCTCCATGATTACCATTACTACTTGCCCCCTTTGTGGCACCTACTGCGGTCTCGTCGGTCTCTTCGATGGCTTTGATGCGCAGCACACGCCCGAAGCGGCCATCGATCTCAGCGATCTGCACCTAGGCTTCTCAAAATTGAGGGTTTAGGATTTAGGGTTTAGGGACCCCCTCAATATACAAGGATACTAAGGGGAATATGGTGCTCGGGATCGTATAGTGACGCAAATCCTATCCTCATGATGTGGCATAGTGTGACAGAAACCTCTTTATGGGACTTGGGCATTAGAGGCCCCCTTGAAACATCAAAAAGGGAATGTCTAGAATGGACAGGCATGGAAACAAACTTACTGGTTCGTAGCGGGGAACAAGGGAATATAACCCCTATATAATCCCTTTCTAATGTTTTCTCTTGTTCCCTACTTACCTCCAGTAAGAAACCGGGACATCAATGGGCTATAGTCTAACCTCCTAGTATCCCCCTCAATACCCCCGATAGTAGTCCCCTCAAAAAATCCATTATATAAACCACTCTAAGGAGTTTAGACCCCTAAACCTTAATCCCTAAACCCTATATATCCCTACATAATTCCCTATATAACCCCTTTACGGAGTTTATAGCTCAAATGGCACCCTGCTGGACTGCATGCAATTGAGGAGCCACATCCCCACGCTGCAGGTTCCCAACCACAGGGCTCTCGACGTCTTTCGACTCGCGAAGCTGAAGCCTTGAAGAAACAGCTTCAACAGTTTTGACTGCTACTATTACTATTACTGTTACTATTACTATTACTGTTACTATTACTGTTGCTATTACTACTACTGTTACGATTACTGTTACTGGTACTATTGCTATTACTACTAACTGCTACTGTTACTATTACTATTCTGACTCTACTAATGTTATCTGTGTTACTGGTACTATTGTTATTTCTACTAGTATGTTATTATTATTAGTATTACTCGTACTCTTAATTACTGTTGCATCCTCACATGTGTGCGGGGACTGGATCACAAGGAGGCAAACCTCAACCTGGAGTTTGATTTGAAGCATCTGGATAGTTGTCTTTGACCATCCACAAATGCCAATAGGCAACAAATTTCTCGAATTTCTTGACATCTTGCAACGAAGGAGTAAAATTGAAACAATATAAACGCTAAACCCTAAAATCCTAAACCCTAAACCCCTAAACCCCATTGTTGCCAAGGGTCTTGGTAGGATGCCATTCGCTTTCGTCCTGGCAGAGGTGATCTGCTCTTTGGGACCGTTTGCGGAAGAACACTGGAATTCTCTGGGTTGCTGTTAAGGAACTTAAATTAAGTTACCATAATGGGTATATATAGTAAATAATCGGGTTTCCCCAATATAGTAACTTAATTTAAGTTCCTTAACAGCAACCCAGTTTAGGGTAACCCCGGGCCGACCCAAGCAGTGGCTCACACGTAGCACTTCCACAATATGGTA